TTATATATATTATTATATATTATTATTATTATTATTATTATTATTATTATTTTCTTCCCACTTTTTTTTCTTTTACTCAAAATTTATTTATTTTTATTACTCAAGTTTATTATTATTATTAAACAAGGACCCTTTCACCATTTCACGTTATCCTTTTATTTTTTTATTACGTAATAATAATTTATTTTTATTTTAATTAATTCAGTTCATTACAATCAACTTTATTAAATTAAATCAATAATATATATATACATATATTTAATTATTAAAACGGAAATAAAATGTGTGAGAGAGAGAGAAAGAGAGAGTGAGATAGAGAGAGAGTGAGAAATCTGGTTCTCGATTAAAAATTTGTATTAAAAATGTAATTTTTTTTGATAATAATTATAATAACGTTTTTCACATAGGCCTTAACGCATTTTTTTTTTTACAAAATTAATTTTACCGGATGTACGTTTGAAAAAAAAAGCGCGCGAATATTTAAAAAATTTAAAAATGGCGTCCAAGTGTCTTAAAATGTCACGCCACGAAATACTTATTCGTACATTACGAAAAAAATTTAATCCTCCGTATTATATTTTAATGTGAACAAAATAAAAATTAATAAGTTAATAAGTTTCTTATTTATTTAATTATTTATTTATTAAAAATAATCTTTTAATAATATTTTATTTAAACCTTTTTTTTTTTTTTTTTAAAGAAATTGTACTGTACGTAAAAATTCATTTGCGCGCGTGCGAACGTTAGGTACAAATTAATAAAATTAATCGCATATGATAAATAATAATAATTTAATAGTTAATAAAAAAATTTATTTATTAAACCTCTATCAGCTATTATTATTATTATTATTATTATTATTATTATTTTAATTACGATGAACGAATGAGAAATATATTTATTATATCCTTACTTAGTTATTGAAGGATGTTTCTTGTTAACGCTTCTGCCATCATTTTTTTTTTATTTGACGCGTAAATTAATATCTTAATCATATCTTTAATTATCTCCTTAGTTTCAAATTTATTTATTTATTAAAAAAAAAAATACATAAATACATAAATAAATAAATAAATTTATTATGTAAAGTTTGCGTAAATAAACGCAACAATTCCATATAATTCACACAAATTTAAATTTTTTACAAACTTTAAAAATTTTTTTGTTTTCGGGTTTAATATTGTTTATCATAACAAACACAATCAAAACAATCTCAACAATCACAACAACAACAACCACAACAACAAGTTGTTGGCATTAATGTAAATTTTAATTTATAATTTTATTATAATTAATTAATTTTTTTTTTTTTTTAATTGATTCATTTTTTTTACGACTTAAACGTTTATTATTTATTATTATTATTATTTAATAATGAAATCATTAACGGTAACAGGTTGAGAGAGAGAGAGAGAGAGAGAAAGGGAAAATTATAATAAAAATTACAGAGTAATAAATTATCAATATTAACGTTTTTTTAAATAAATTAATAAAAATAAAAATTGTAACGACAATTTTTTTTTTTTTTACATAATTTTAAATTAATTTCACGTGTAATTTCGTGACAATTGCAAACAAACAGCAACGACAACAACAACAACAACAACAACTTGTTACATTTAGAAAAAGTTGTGTTATTAATTAATTTATTACGCAATAATAATAATAATAACGAAGAAATGATACGGAGAAGTCATGAATAAAACTACAGTTTAATTATATTAGAGTAAAATAAAAACGTCTGAAATAAGTTTGAAAAATAATAAAATAAAATTTTAAATTTAAATGTCAAATTAATAAATCCATTAAGTCCAGTCCTTGGTGAGAGAGACAGAGAGAGAGTGAGAGAGAGAGTGAGAGAGAGAGAGAGAGAGAGAAAGAAAGAAGAGAGAAGAAAAAAAAAAAGGGAAAACCCTGAAAAAAAAAAAAAAGTTTACATAATAAAGTTAATGATTATTAAGAAAAAGAGGAAGGGGGAAGAGAATTGATGATACGATGATGATGTTGGTGACAACGTTTATGATAATAAAGAAGGCGGTGTAAAGGTGGTGGTGGTGGTAGTGGTGATGGTGGCAGTGGCTGTGGTCATCGTCGCGTTGGCAAAACCCGTAATAAAAGGTAAAAAAAAAATTGAAATGAAACCTTTTGCTTTTCATCCTAAAAAGGTTTTTTTATACATTTGTTATTAATGAGAGACTCGTGTCAAATAAAGTAACTTCTTTTTTTTTTTTTTTTTAATTACCTTACACAAAAAAAAATTAAAAATGGTTTCCAATGGGTGGCATTGGTTAAAGCAATTCATTTTTTTTTTTTTTTATAACTGCAACAATTTATCGTTTGGCAAAAAAATAAATGTGACATTCGCGGTGGTAAGTTAAATATAAACGTATTTAAACGGTTCATACGTTTGCTTTGTTTTTTTGGTATAAAAGGGAAAAAAATTTCCATGGATGGCATTATCAGTTTTTCAACAACCAGAGAAACAACCAAACAAACCAATACCAAAATGTTCAAATTCGTAAGTATTTTTGTATTAAATTTTTGATAAATTTTTATTAACGTGCAAAAAAAAAAATTCCGAGCTCATTTAATTTTTGGAGTTTATTTAAAAAAAAAAAATTTTATCGGATGATACGAGAGAGAGAGAGAGAGGGGAGAGTGGGAAAGGCTCAATCGTAATCAAATCTAACAAAATTTTTCGTTGTCATTTAGGCCGTTTTCTTGGCTCTTTTGGCTGTCGCCATTGCCGCTCCAGGATATTTGGGAGGTGGATTAGGATACGGAGTCGGATACGGAGTCGGTGGTTTTGGAGTCGGAGTCGGACACGTTGCCGCTCCACTCGTTGTTCCACGTGTTCACGTTGCTCCACTCGCTGTGTAAGTAATAATCATTCGAAAAAACCCAAACCTCGCAAAATACTCGTTCTTATTATGATTCTTTTAATTTTTTTTTTTTTTTTTTTTTAACAGAGGATACGGTTACGGTCACGGACATCTCGGATACGGAGGATTCGGACACCACTTCGGTTAAATATGTTTTTAAATTAATTTACGGATTATTTTGGAAAACCCGTTCAAAATAAAAACCTGTTCCATTCTCAATCAGAAAACATTTACAACAACAACCATAACCACAACAACTTTTGAATTTATATGCTACTAAATTTCAATAAATAAAACAGTTTTTTTTGGGCTTTTTTTTTTTAACAAAAAATTATTGCTTATTTATTTATTTATTATTACCATAACCTCCACCTTATCAACAAACAAACAAACAAACAAACCTTTCACACGTACACATTTCTACGTCTGTGTTTTAAGAGTTTTAAATTCGACAAAAAAAATTTTTTAGTTTTTGGAAGCGTTGGCAAAATTTAAGTTTAATTACTGAGTAACAAGGACGCCATTTACTTCCTATAAATATTTTTTTTTTTATTATAAATATAATTAAAGGAAGGTTTATGAGAAAAATTTTAAAAATGTCAGACGACGTATTTATATATATATTCGATTGTTTGATTATATTCACGGTCGTATAAAAAAAAAAAAAGGTCCAAAGGTTTCAACAAGTTTTTTTATTAATGACTACATACGAAGATACGCCGCGTTATGATACGAAACAAAAATTTTTTGTTTACGGTTGGCAGTTGGCTAAAAAATGGGCAAAAAAAGCAAAACTTTATTACCTGCGTACAGGTAAAATTATAAAAAAAAAACGTACAAAATGGACACAAAATGGACGGATTAAAATTATTTTTTAAATTCATTCCTTTTTTTTTTTATGGGTGATGAAAAACCCATCGTCCGATCAAACAAGTTGAAAAATTTTCATTTAATTTATCACACGGTTGTAATTCGTTAACCTTTTCACGTTTTTTTTTTTTTTTTTTTTTTTAAATTAAAAATCCGATTATAATTCATTGCCTCGTTTCAATTACATAAAATAATAATAATAATAATAATAATAAAGTAACAACAAACTCATTATCGATCGATCGTTTATTTAAAAAAAAAAAAACAATTCATAAATATTATTTTCCCGATGTTTTCTTCTCTCTCTCTCCTTAATCCGGTTTTTTTTATTTATTTTGATAACCACGTGTTTCGAAGGACGACCGCGATAAAATAATTACGCGAAAAAATGCCGTGTTTTACTACAAAATTTTCTTCTTCTTTTTTTTTTTTTTTTTTTGTATAATTCAATTTAATTATTTTTAATGATTATCATCGTCATTTACATGAAAATTTTTTTTTTTTTTTTTTTTTTTTAATAAAAATTATTAACATTTATTAATGTTATTGCATTATCGTTATAATATTCGAAGGATAAAAATCGATAATCGATAATCGAATTGATTGTAAATTATGAAATTTAATTATCGACGACAAAATAATAATAAAAATATGGCGTGTGCAAAAAAAAAAAAAAAAAAAAAAAAAAACCTTTCGATGTGTAATTACGATGGATAACGATCGATTTAAGAAGGTGATCGAAAAATAATAGAAAAGGTCAAAGATGAATAAAAGGCCGTGAGAATATTTCGAGGTGACTGTTTGCGTTTAGCCCCCCGCCCCTGCCCCGCCTTAATTTTCATTAAATTATCACTTTCGTTTTAATTAAAAATTTTTTTTACCCTTACGATATCTTACGTGTACGTTTTTGTCCACGTGTATCAACGATTCATTTCCGTTTGTATTGTAAAAAAATAAACGTTTTCTTTTCACTCGTGAAAATTTGACACGCGGTTTTTAAGGTCGCGACACACACACACGTGTTATAACGTCATGTGATATATAAAATAAATTCAAACATGTTTTTCCCCGTTTATTATCCTTTTCCAGTGAACGCCCCCGCGTGGGGGTTTTTTAAAAATATTTTCGGCATCGAAACAAAATCTTCATTTTATTCTCTTAATTAATTTGTTTTATAATCTTTTATTCGTTGGCATCTTCAGTGTCATTGATCTTCTTCCATTTTAAAATTGTTTACCAAAGATTTCACCTTTCACCTTTCATCGTCCGAAAATATCGTCAACAAATTTTTATTTACGCACGTCGAAAGACGCAAAGTTTTAAATATTAAAAATAATTTTTTTCGATTACGCCGCGTAAAAAAAAAAAAAAATTTAATCCAAAAGATTAATTTCCATAAGTAAACCGTGCGTGTTGTCGATGTTTAAAAAAAAAAAAAAAGAAAAATAATTTGGGCTTATACAATTTTCTAACATTGCAAGCGTGACTAATTGCATATTAATTATTTTGTAGGAATAAAATAAGGTTTTTTCTTTTTCCCATTATAAAACGGCACCTTGTCGAATAAAACCAAATGAATACGGGTTAATGTGTATGTCGTCGTCGTCGTCGTCGTCGTCGGCATTTTCGTTTTGCGTGTCAAAAACTTTTCATTTTCGAAATTTTTTTCTTTTTCTTTTTTTTTTTTTTTGTTATAATTGACACGTAAAAATGTGTTGACATCGTATCATCGCCCATTTTCTACTCTTACACTTGGCACATATTTTCCTTATTATTATTATTATTATTATTATTATTATTATTATTATTTTTAGTAAAGAAAAGAAATTTTTTCTTTTGTTATACGAATTTAGGTTATATATATATTTTTTTTTAAATTTTCATTACTATTATTATCATTATTATTTTAACCTGTTTATCATGAGATACTACGTCACGATAGTAAAAATTTTTTTTTTCTTTAATTTTTCTCATAAAAAATAATTTCACGCATTTTCATTTCATTTCATATTTTTTTTTCTCTCTCGAAATCTCATGTTCAAAAAAACAAAAAAAAAACGTCGGGGGGGGAAAAAAAATCATTTTACGTAAAAAATTTAATATAAGTCTCTCGAAATAATAATAATAATAATAATGACGAGAGTCTCGTTTTTCATAAACAAAAGAAAAAAATTAAATTAATTTACGTAGATTTCATAACAAAATCTCACACTTAATTTTACACTTTTCTCACACATTTTTATCAAACACGTGATTTTCATTAACTCTTTAACATTAATAAATATTATTATTAATATTATTATTAATATATTTACGTCATTGCATTATGCACGTAAAAGAAAAAGAAAAAGGAAAATTTCCATTTACGCTTACGATATTTAGTTCGATTTCGTGAAAAATCAAACGACGAAAAACAAACAAACAAACAAAAAGGAGGAATTTATTAAAGAACGCGAACTTTATTTAATATTAAAATAATAATAATAATAATAATAACGTTTTATTATTATTTTACCATCCTTTAAAAATTAATTAATTAATTAATTTAATTACCCTTCACGCATTCGATACAGTTTCGTTTTAAAATTAACCTAATTTTTTTTTTGTCTTCAAGAACAATTGCTTTTCGAACGACATACATTTCCCTTTTCCTTTTTTTTTTTTTTCTACGCGGTTGTTGTTTGTATATGCGTTTGCACGAATTTGTAAATTAATGAGTAACAAACGACAAAACCTAAATCCCAAATTATTAACGTCGTTGTTACTTTAAAAAAAGTTAAAAAAACGCGCCATTTTTTTAAAATTTACGAAAATTTTTCCCGCCATTTTGAAATAACAACACTCGGGTTATTCCATTCCGTGACAAAATATTATCATTATTATTATTATTATCATTACGTAACAATTCAACTGTCACCCAGATAAAAGGTGTGAAGCAATTAGTTAAAGCGAGAATCAAAGTACAACCAAAATGGAAAAAAAAAATTGCCAAATTGAATTAAATCCAAAAAAAGACGAAAAACAACAACAACAATCGTTCGATAGATCGATAATCGATAATTGAATTTTTTTTTTTTTTAAAACGTGATTTCTCGCGTTCGGTTGCACCAACATAACGACAAAAAAAATTATTACTTTTCAGTTGACGTTACAAAATAAATTAAAATTTTTTTTTTTTTTTTTATTACGCGATGACGTTTATAATTTTTATTGGTTAACAATAAGAAAATATTTATTACTCAATAATAATAATAATATTAATAATAATAAATCTCTTGCGGCTACATAAAAAAAAAATTTACATTAAAATAATAATAATAATAATAATAATTATTATTATTACGTAACAAATCTAAAATTTTTTCACTTTTTTTGTAATTTTTTTAAAATTTAATTAAAAATAAATAAAAAAAAATAATGATGATTATTTTATTTTGTTTCTGACGGCAAATTATTATTATTATTATTATTATTATTATTATTTTGTTTTTCGGCTACAACTACGTAATTTTTTTTCTTTTTTTTTTACATAAAAAAATTTTTTCTCGCCATTTAAATTTAAAAATAAATAAATAAATAAATAAAATTAATTTTGAATGAATTACGAAATCGAAAAACAACGACAACAACAACAAAAACAACAACAACAACAATAATAATTGCAATCAAAGTAAATTGATGCGTTTTTTTTTTTTCAATTTTCTCTTTGACGGAGGGAAATAAATAAATAAAAATTTTTTTTTTTTTAAGAATACAAAGGGAGAAAAATAAAAACAAAGATGGCGCCCGACGGTAAAAAGATTTCGTAAATTAAAATTAAAATTGAACTAATTAATTAATTATTAAAAATCGAACCTTTTTACCAATTTTTTTTCCCTCTTTACGCGTTTATCTTGCGACTTTTTAAGGTTAAAAAAATAACCTTTCGTAACTATTATTATTATTATTTTTCTCGGAATCGTCAATCCTACAAATTGTTCACGTTTTCCACAAGATTGTGCAAAAAAAATTAAATTAATAAATTTGATGAATGAATTAAATTTAAAAAACGGTTGGCAACATTTCTAACCATTATATGTGTCAATTTCATTTCTATGCCAAAATAAAAGGTTCGTCAAAAAATTTCGTAGAATTTTTCGCCATCATCATTATTATTATTTTTATGTTAAAAAACTTTTCTCCAGATTGTTTGTCGCGGGTGAATACAATCAACAAATAAAATTTAATAAAAAAAAAAATAATGATGAGGAGTAATTGAAAAAAGTTGAAAATTTTTTGTTTATCAACAAACAAATTCCAAAAACGAGAGCAAACAACAACAACAACAAACTTAAAATTCCAGTTCCAGGTGATAATTCAATTGTAATTTATTGATAACATCGATAAAACAATAAAATGATAAATTTATATAATATTAAATCATATCGCGCATGGATATATAAACAAACATCATTATCGACTTTAAACAAACGAAAATAAAAAATCACAACAAACAAAAAATAATAATAATAATAATAATGTTCAAAACGGTAAGTTTTAAGATTTTTACGAGTCCAAAAAATTATTTTTTTAATTTTTTTTTTTAAATTTCCAACAGGGATTAATTTTTATTTTGGCTGCTACAATGGCGGTTGTTTCTGCTAAACCGGTTTTTACCGCCGCTGCCGCATATACGAATTTACCACTTACGGCTCCAGTAGCTTATGCGACACCCGGATTAGTTACCGCTACTAGTTCTCAATATTTTGCTAGAAATTATAACGGACTTTATTCGTTACCTTACGTCGCCACTGCTGCTGCTGCTGCACCAGCACCACTCATAACATCTTCGGCTTATTCATACGCTCCAGCTTTTGTTTATTAAATTCAATTCGTCGATTGTTAATTTATAAAATTTCTTGAAAATTTTTTTTTTTTTTAAATTTAATTCATTTATACAATTAAAAAATATTTATTTATTTATTTATAATAAATGCTGTTTTGAAACAAATAATAATAATAATAATTGTTTTTGAAACTGTTTCATAAACTAATACCTTTCAACTCGATCGGAAATCATCATCATCGGTTAAAGACACAAAAGTAAAAGGATTTAAATTATTCATCGATATATTTTTTTATTTTTTTTTTCACGCTATAAAAGGTGTTTCAAAAAGGTTGAATAACCTTTTGATAAAATAAGTTATTTTGCAGCGCGAAATTTGTAAACTAATATAAAAACATTGAAAACTTAATTTTTTCACGTGAGTCGTTCAATAAAAAATTAAACATATTATTCTATTACACGCGTGATAACTTTTTTAAATCTTTTATCAAAGTTATTCATAAGTTTATTATTATTATTATCATTTATTTATTAATAAAGTTATTAAAAAAAGTATTTTCTTAAGCTAAAGTTCAACGTCCTACGACTAATTACGCGAAAAAAAAATTATTATTAAATCGAAAACATAATATTTGTTAAATAAATATTTATTTTTTTTTTATACGCGATGAAATTTATAATAATTTTCAAAGTTTTGCGGTAAACATAATAACAACACGTATAACGTGGAATTAGAAATTTAGTTAATTAACGTGGAATTAAAATTTTCCAAATTTATTTATTTGTTTTTTTTTTTTGTCAATAAATTTTAAACGCAAAAAAAAAAAAAAAAAAAATTCGCGAATAAAAAATTCAACTTAATTAGTTAATCACTTCCGATCGGTGTGGCAAAATCCCCCCCTCTCCTCCCACCTCCCCTCGGAAAAAAGGGATCGTCAAGGATATTTTTTTGGTCTTTAATATTTTCGCGTAATTAATTTTTATTATCGTCACGCACGCACGCACGCACACGCAAAATTTACGTATTAAAACCCCCCTCCACCCCCCGGTGGAAATCAATTTTTTTTCTGTCGAATTTTACGAAAATAAATTCTTCCTTTCTCCTCTCCTCCTCCCCCCGCCAAATCCGTTGAAAAAATTCAACTCGAAATTATTTAAATCTCATACCTAATAATAATAATAATAATAACTTTTTTAACAACATACGTTTAAATATATATAAAAAAAAATTTTTTTCTAAATAATTCCTGCCCCCCTTACGAATAAAATGAATAAAATTCCAGGAAGAAAAAAAATTCCACTTGTTTCGCTACGAAAAAATAAAAACGTCGTATTAATTATCGATAATTGAGTAAACACGGGATAATGATAATAATAATAATAATAATAATAGTAAAGTAATTATTTATGCGTTTTCATGATGAGAAACGTAAGCATTCATGTGAAAAGTAACTGTAAATGAAGATCCCGTAAAAATTTTTTTTTATTCATCCCAGAAAACAACAACAACAAAAAGAATGTCAAGGTTTTTTATTTATTAATTTTTTTTTTTTAATAAATAAAATCAAATCGAATATCAAATGTACGTTTTGACTTTCGGTTTTCTCTCTCTCTCTCTCTCTCTCTCTCTCTCTCTCTCTCTCCATCTCTCTCTCTCACACACTCTCCGGAAAAAATCGTTTTTTTTTATATTTGTCGCAAAATACAAACTTCCTATATGTAAACGATATTTTTTGGTTTATTTGAATTTAAAAAATTTTTATGGAATTCAATTCCATTGTCCAGCTTCTAAAGAACTACGGGAATAAAAGACGCAAACCATTTTATTATTATTATTATTATTACTTTTCTTCCATTAAGATATGCATATTTTTAAAAAATTCCCCAGGTTTTTATTTACTTAAGAAAAAGTTGAATCAAGACTTCCGCGATTGTAATTATAAAAGTTTCTGGAAAAAAGTAGGTGGTGGAACTCACAGAATGCAACAGCGTCCCGTAGGTTTGTTTATACAAAATTTTCCGGGTTTTTAATTAAATTTAAAAAAGAAAAAAAAAATTGTTAATAAACGTCATCATCTTCATCGTCATTAATTTCCTGTTTTTAAACTTTTTTTTTTTAATTTTTCTCTCATCGCTTCCCGAAAATTTGAAAAAAAAAAAAAAAAAAAAATTGAATGGGGAGCCAACGGCACGTGGTGTTCCCAAGCGGTCACCCATCCAAGTACTAACCACGCCCGATGCTGCTTAACTTCGGTGATCGGACGAGAACCGGTGTGTTCAGCATGGTATGGCCGTTGACGAGGATGACAGTGAAAACATTTCACCATGAACGCTTGGCCCGTAACGTTTTTTTAGATTCCATTTACCTGCACGAAGTATCGAGTATTAGGCAGGTACTAACGTCATAAATAATAATAATAATTTTTATATAAAATAAACCGTTGAAAATGTTTTTCACACAATTATTAAAACCCAACTTTACAAATTTTTTTTTTTTTTTTTTAATTATTTTCTCTGTTGTCGTCATTCAACTTGATTTCATTTATAAAAAATTTTTCGTCCTTAATGTCTTTTGCATTCCTTCTCAATTTCCAGAATATTCTTTTTTTTTTTTTCGTCTCGTTTCTGTTTTATAAGAGGTTGCCCTCGTTTACGTGATTGCTGATGATTTTACGTCGAATTTTTTAGTTTTTTAATAATTTGACGACACGTTAACACTTCATTTATGATTAACCTAATTAAATTCGAACGTTAAAATTTCCTTATAATAATAATAATAATAATAATAATAATAATAATAATAATAATATAAATAATTTTTTTTTTAATTTTAATAGAGAATATTAAAAAAAGAAATTAATATTATGAATTCTCTGGTTAATTTTATTTATTTAACGAAATCGAATATTTAATTTTATTTTTTTTTATTACAAATTTTTTAAACGGAAATAATTAATAATTTTTTTGTCCTGTCGTCGTTTAAAATTTAATCGAATCGTTTTTCTTTTCTTTACTTCCGGATACGTAAAAAAAAAATTTTTAAGATTTGAAAGAAAAATTATAAATATTTTTATTTTCCTATTTTTTTTTTTTTATTACTTCAGATTGTAAATAATATTTTTTTTTGGAATTTAATATTAGATTAAATTTTTCCGTTTTCGAAAAGAAAACGTAAATTTTCTTTTTTTTTTACGTTTTCTACAAAGACGATATCAATTGAAAAATTTCCCGTCAACGGCCATACCATGCTGAACACACCGGTTCTCGTCCGATCACCGAAGTTAAGCAGCATCGGGCGTGGTTAGTACTTGGATGGGTGACCGCTTGGGAACACCACGTGCCGTTGGCTCCCCACAATTTTTTTTCAAATTATTTAAGTTTAGAGAAAATTTTTTTTGTACTACCAACTATCTCAACTTGCTCACTTGGGTGTAAGAAACGGTCACTGCCGAAATATTGAGACATCAAGTTTTTGTGTAACCGTTAAAGTCATTACATATATTATTTGTTATTTTATTTTTGAATATGTATTACCTTATTTGATGTATTATTATTATTTTTTGTTTTCAAAAACAATAATAATAATAACAATAAAAAAAAAATTATAAATGATACAAATTAAACAAAATATATATATATAAGTTTCAAAATAAAATTGGCAATAGTTTTTTAAACGTTGCCTAATTTTCTGGCTCTTTGTATAATATTGATTCCATGTTCCATTACTGCTGACACGAACAATGTCTATCTAATGTCAATAATTTTATTACTAATTACAAAATAAATATATATATTTATTATGAATATATGAATGAACATTTAGTTGTAATAAAAACGCAA